AGTTCCTTCTCAGCAGAGTGAATGTTGAATGATTAAAGCAATACAATAGAGGAGTACCCAGTGGGCAAAATACGTTGAAATAACGTTGAAACAACGTCAGATTCCGACGTTGAACTAACGTTGAATAATGATTGAATTTGAAAGTTGATCTGACGTTGAAATGCTGACGTTAAACCAACGTGGAAAGCATAACGTTGAATCAACGTAGATATTTCAACGTTGATTTAATGTCGGACATTCTACGTTGATTCAACGTTATTAATGATTGAATTTGCAAGTTGATCTGACGTTATTATGCTGACGTTAAACCAACGTGAAAAGCACGACGTTGAATCAACGTAGATATGTCAACGTTGATTTAATGTCGGACATTCTACGTTGATTCAGCGTTGATTAATGATTGAATTTGCAAATTGAAGCGACGTGGAAATGCCGACATTGAAACAACGTTAAGATCACAACGTTGAGATAACGTAGACATTTCAACATTGATTTAACGTCGACATCTCTACATTGAAATAGCACTGACATGATGTTCAATCAACGTATAAATAATCAACATTAAATGACATCCTATTCTTAGAAACAACACAGTTAAATAAATGCAATTTTGGAATCAACATATTTTAAGGATTGTATTTAGATTTAAAGCCAGAATGTACTGATAGTGGTGGATGTTGGCATTTTCCCAATCGTTCCATGTTAAATAAATTTGCAAGCTGAGGAGTGTTGTTAAATCCATGTCGAAATTGAATAACTTTAAATTTAAATGAAATTCTTTATCAATCACTTTAATGTTTTCCATTAAAAAAAATGTATGTATTTATTAATTAACTTCCAACCTTATCAACTTATACAACACACTTTAGGTTAAAAAAGTAGCAATTATTCCACACATTGTAAAATTCATAATTGGATTGACTTGTTCCAACAGCATTATAGCCTACACGAGGGTACTAGTCTCTAAAAAGATACATGACGATGAAATTTATTTTTTTCCAAAGAAATGCAGCACTGCCTAGTGCATTTACATCGGAAATATAACAAGAGGTAACGAGCATATAGGTACAATTTTTAAACGTCGAAATTCACTTTTTTTTTTATTTGCATTAGTTTTATTAGATTTCAAAATTTACCTGCAGCACTATTCTGTCAAATCTATATGACTTTTCTTGTGAAATATCGCAAGAGGTTATGCGGCAGACTTGGGCAAGAGCATTAGAAACTGTCAAATAGAAACTAATAAAATAAAAAAACAACATTATTCATACAAAATTAATCTGAATGATTCAATTGAACATTCGAAGAGGTCAACCAAGAATCAACAGTAATAACTAAATAATCCACGATACATGTACTGTGTATTTATATAACAGTCCGCCCACTTTTCGAACGTGGAAGTTTCAAAATGAAAAGTACAAGATGCGGCAGAGGTTGAATTTCAATCACTTAAAAAAGCTTTACCTGTTGTACACTAACGGAAAGATACCAGTCACTCCAGAGCAACTTACTGTATTTGAACAATTACTGTCGATCAACTAACTGTTCCAATATTGAAATATTGAACATAGTCCAAATGTACGACTGAACGTGAAGGTGCATGGGCCCTCAGTGTGTCCTTCCATCACCTCTTCTTTCAGGCGCAAACTTGACAGGAGATGAACAACTCAATAAGCAGCAACATCCATCACCTTGCCATTACGAAGTTACTAGACCTCGCTAGAAAAGACAAATAAAAGATAAATTAATTTTTTTAGAATTGTTAGCTTCCTCCCCAACCATCTCTTTATTCATTGACACAACCAAATCAAAAACGAAAATGTTACAAACACAAACAGAAACTAGAAATGTGTTTGTGGACAAACACTGAGCTGTTTCGATTTTATCAATGAACGCCGTAAAGGAGTTTCATCCAGGTCAAATGAACATGTACATGCGTATACAGAAAGTGTACATCCTATGTAAAAAAAAACATCTTTCATGATGTCATGATGACGGCACACAATTTGTGAAATTGTCTATATCTATCTACGACCTACAGTAAACCTTTTGCAAAAAGAATTTTGAAGTAATCACGTTGCTTTTAGGAAAGCGTCAAGTGACATGTGATGACGTCATTCTCATCGGTTGTTATAACATGTTTAACATTGTTTTTAATATAGATGTCAAATTACAATGAAAAGTTTTTAAATAAAATAATGCACTTTCAAAAAGTAATACAAACTCAAAGGATGATGTCATCATGACGTCACCTCATATTTACCACTTAATAGACATATTATATCTACACACCAAGTTTCATGACTATCCGATGACCCCTTGTATGTGGTTAACAAAATCTGAATTTTGATGGCGTCATGATGACGTCACAAAAATTACCGCATTAGGTGGTGGTGATGAGAGTGACATAGCAAAGTTTAATCAAAAAGAATTTTGAAAATACTTTGTTTTGTTCAGTAGATATGGTGGACTGCTGTACCATTGAGGTTTCTGGCTAGAGTGGCAATGGAAATTTTCATGAGTGTAATACAAAACAGGAACCGAAACAGAATAGGAACAATCAACCTGTGAACTGGGGATTATCTCAAAAGTATTTTTCCCGTGCCTCAGCTCTATTTACATCGTTTTCCTGGGCACGGCGACGAATTGGTATTTGTCACAGTACTATATGCAGGCCGGGAAAATCTCAAAGGTGTTGCACGATTACAAATATTATCAGTATGGATAAAAAGCTGTTCAAAACACTCAGAATTACAGGATAAGTACAGAAATATGAATATGCCGTCAGAAGGTTTGTTTTTATGAAATAACGTGTAGAACATTAAAGGGAGTGAAGTATTATAACAGTAATAGAGAGATATACCCGAGTAGTTTTTTTTTAATTAGAAATTAATAACCTATTGAATTATCAATGGTGGTTATTTATTTTAGAAGCCACATGCCAACACTGCTATCATCCAAAAACAAACAATGAATCAAAAACAAAAAACGGAATTATTCATCCTAAACTATGCCCAGATCCTTTCCTTGTCCAAGCTCCAGTTGTAGGCCTGGAATGCAAACTTTCTTTTCAACAATCATCTTTTTTCTTGCATTTAGAAAGGATTTGTATTTTTTCGCGTTTTCATATGTATATTTTTCTTCATACCATTAATAGTAATCGGATAATTATTACAGAAGTTCTTACTCTTGATTGCAGTTTGGATCAATCCTTTAACGCTGAAAAAACGTTGACTTATTTCAAGGAAATCAACCCGTTTTCAAAGGATTTAATGAAGCTCATTGGCAAACTAACATTGGGACTGTCAAAATGTCTGCATATATTTAAAAACAAATAGTACCACTGTATCGACACAGAATGCGTTTAATTGGCTTTCTGTACGTAACATGTTTGAAAGTATTTGTTGTTTTTTATTTGACGTATCAAAAATCGTGGTTTCTCTTTAAATTTTTAAGGGGCCCACGGGGGGCACTTTCGCACAAGATTGTGGATCTTCTCGAGATGGATCATTACCCCTTTGAAACCACAAAATACCCGTCTTGCAAAAATCAAATTGTGCCCCTTTCGAGTTGGAAATGTGGGCATCCTAAACCTGTGCCCTGCTCGCATTTGTGCCTCTCACAAGAGACAGACATCTTGCTTAAAATATATTTTTCGTTGCGCGAAATAGAACTGGCCATCAAAAGCAAGGGTGGCCATCTCGCAATAAAAATATTGTCTCTCTACATAACTATAGACGAATTGAAGGGCGGGGGATAGAGGGTGTGCCGGGGCCGAAGGTTCTCTCAAGTGAGAAAATTGCCTTTATTTTGAGAAAGATATACGGCCACTGCCATGCCAAGGGCGGATAGTGCGGTCTGCGGTCCATGCTCATCATGTACCTGGAGAACATTGCAAATATTCGTTTCAATTTAAAGATTTGCTTTTTGAGCACCATGACGTGGTGTCTTTGTGATTTAAAGCGAAATAGCTATATCTTCACTTTCATACCGAAAAGGTCACCTTTGTTGTTTTTTTTGAAAAAAAGTGCCCCCTTTTGGTGTCCCCCAAAGTGTGTGTAATTTGAAGCCCCACCCAGTGAAGTGGAGTTTTGTTTACGGGCAAGAGACGTCGTTGCTAAGTAATAGCCTATAAGTTGCAGAAAGGCAACCCGGAAGGTCTTAAGGTGGCGGGTTGCCTGAGGGCCTGACGCGGGTGTTGGTATACTGTTGTACGGGTTTGATTGATATTGTAGTTGGACTGGGAGCCAGTGATTTGTTGGAAGTTTCAGCCGAAGTTGGAGGAGTGGCCAATTGTGAATCACCGAATGGGGAATGACCAGTAATTTGTGTGTAAAGTACATGTTGGATATCAGGGCCGAGACGGGTGTTGATGAACGTGACGAAAGCTGGGTTAGGGCGGTCCATTTCAGAATTGAACAGACGAAAACGTGTTGAGGAGTGTTTAGTGCGCCTAGCA